GTCAATACATGTATTTTAATTAATTAAAGGGTACACATTATCAATTCATTACTTGCAAAATGTGAGTGGTTCAGGTTGTTGCAAGAACTCTTCCTGGCAGATAGGACAAACATCTTCTGTCTCTATATCTTTCTGTTTAAGTTTCTCCCTGCCATCAAAGATGATGAAGTCCTTCTCAGAGTCTTTTTTCTTTCCTGGGCGTGACCTTGCATGGCATCCTCTCATGACTTCATTAATCTCACGCTCCACCAGTGACAGTTGGAAAGTTACTAAAAACGTTTTAATGACAGAATTAAACACACATATATTAACCATAAGCCGGTATTTGAATTCATCCCGAGGAATGATCAACCATCTCCAAATCTGCTCATCTGCCGGTAAATCTGTAGCAGACTGTGAACAGATCTGCCGGTTTTCTACAGGCATCTCTAAAATTTCCTTGTGGACACCTCACTATATTACTGATCATGACATCCTGATAATATGGAGAGCAACTACATCTGTACTCCTTGGCAAAAACATTTGACTGACGTTAAATCTGGTTGCTTATTACGGACTCTGACCCTGTTATAATATTAAGGACATTATCTTGCAGTCCTGAGGGTGTTTGCAATAATCATTTATGGGAGCTGACTGTAATAATGACTGCATGTATCTTGGAAATCTAAAAGATGCCACCATCTCTCTATACTGGTCTTAATAAACTAGTGGCCAGGGTACATTAAGTACTTCCCTCAGACCCAAATCAGCATGGTACAAAGTTGCAACCTACATGTATTGCACTGGATAAGGAAGTAGTCATGTGTGTATACATGCGTGTAACAGTACAATACAATCAAACTCACTTGGATTTTCTTTGGGCACTCGAAATTTCTTAAGCAATACCCTATACATATAAAACAAACAACTGAATTAATATCATTATAAACCTCTAGACCACTGCATGGGTGAAGGCAAGGGGAGGCTTAACCCATTTGCCCCTGGAAATTTTGACAAAAAATGGGTTTTAAAGCTAATCGAGCTGTTTTCTGGTCACTGTTGCTATGTCTATAACTGAACATTTATCACTGTTATGGGTTTTAGGATGTTGCAAGAGAGATGGGCCTTTCTTAATTTTTGCAGTTCACTTACCATAGGATATGAACACAGAGCTCTTTCTCCTTCATAAAAGTCTGGCATGTACAAGAATGCTGGTCTCCTAAGAAGACCTAACAACAGAAAAGTCATGGGTAGTTCAATCCCTTTGTTATCATGTGAAGACAACTGTACCTTACTATACAAATAATAATTTATTTAAGCTGCAAAACTTATATCTTACTAAGCAAGGAAAATACATTTTTTTGTATGATAGTTCAATGTTACACTGATGTAAAGATATATGGTCAATTTCTACAAAGCCTTAAGTTCTGGTAGCCAACTGACATTCCCCAACAAACTAGCCAATCTCCCGGTCTTTTGAGAGCTGCCAGTTTTAACTTGCTCTCATGGAAAACTGACATGAACAATTTTGAAAAGAAGCTGATGATAGTTTTCAACTTTTGACAATTTTCACATCATTTCTAATAATTATCTTTATTATTAATATTTTCAAAATATTTCCCCGATTCTGATTGGCTAAAAGCACACGCATAATTCACCATAACCAGCTACTGATGACCATGATGGCATGAAGGTGGGCACCTGAGGGACTAAAAAATGGTGAGCTGCAAGAAAACTAAAGGCATTTTCTTTCTGACTAAATGAATCTTCAGATTTTGACCCGCCTTTTTAAAAATGTCCAGATTTTAAGTTCCTGTGGGTTGACAGGCCTGCCCCTGGAGGGGATGGGGAGCATTGGATGACTCTGGCCTAAGCGGCTGCAAAGGATACTACTGGGGGTTTCAAAATGTTTTGAAGAAGGCGGCCGACTCTGGGCGGCTGTGACAATCAAGGGGCAGCAAGGCCCCTGAAGCTATGTAGAGGGGTCTGAGTAGCCGGCGACATACAATCAAGCAGCCGGCAGACACTCTCTCCTCCGCAGAGGCCTCTTTGTGTTGTGGGGAGGCTGGGGAGAAAAAAAAGAGAGCGCGCTTTCTATTTTTTCGATAATTGATATTTTGATGGGGATACCCAGCGGGAGCCTCTGTGGAGGAGAGAGCGGCAGACACATTGGCGGTACTTATATCTCATCTATCATTTCGCAGGCCTTTTCACCAGCAACATGTCATAGTAACATGTCACATGTCCATGGGACTTCACTTCAACATCACCTCCCGAGGACAAAAAGTTCATGTCTCCAGCGACAAGCAGGTTGGTGGCATATGAGAACCCTCCCTCTATCTAGATTTTAAAAGCTAATTAATTTCCTGGCTGACTGACTACAGTTTCATTATGAAACTGTCTCACTAAACATATTTGGGCATGTTTAACTTAAGCTCTGTCAATTCAAAGAAATTCGGAATACGTAAAAGCAAAAGCAGAAATGTAGTTGCTAGAGGATGTTTTCTGTGAACAATTATTTTGGTAAAAATAATTAACTTTACGAAAACAAACCTTTAATTTGCGATCCGAACCATCTTCCTTCAAAAGAAACCCCGTTGGTCCCGTCTCGCGTAGAAGATAAATTCTTGCTTGGATCGTTTCATCGATCCTGCTCGCGACAACATCAGGACAAACTCGTCTCCAAGGAACTCGACGAGCCATGTCAGAGTTATTCAGTCGATCATTTTTTCGATAACAAACAAAATATGTTGTGAAAACACTTCTTTTCTTTCTGGCGTTTGAATTTGCAATTGTTTTGCCTCAGTCACGCTTGCCTGGCAACGATATGTCCGGGAAGAGCTGGAACTAGTGAATGAGGAAGAGTGGGAAAGAAAAGGACATTTCGATACCTTTACATGACAAAATAAATCGTTGTTTTGGATACGAAGACAGAAGGTGTTACGTTCTTTTACCCACATGTTGGTCTTGATTTTGTAGCAAATATGGCGGGGAATCGAATACATTTAAAACTAGATCAAAGTGCTGCAGCTTCTATTGATCAGTATCTGGAATATCGAAGGTTTGTGGTTGGTATTTATTGATATTTGTTGATTGTATAGTACAGTGTTGCCCCGGTGTTGCTCTATCCAATGTCTCAATTAGGGTCTAAACGCTGCAATTTCATGAGAATCTTAACATCAGAAAGCTCAGAAAAATTTCCGAGCTCCAGATGAGATTCAAATTCACGAACCTCCGAATTATAGATTGGACGGTCTAACCGCTGAAATTGTGGGAGACTCATGGCCAGTAAGAGGGAAAGGGTTTTGTGGGCTGTCGTATACGTACAGAGTTGGGCAATGCAGTACTCAATAATACTGAGAGATACCGAAGTGTGTTATCTTCCTTTGGCCGATAACGCCCTCCTTACTTGTCATTCTTCAGACCATACTTATCCTCGTTTAACGATGGTCAAACATTCATGGGTGTCGGTTTTTCCTCTTATAGGATTGTTGGCGATGATGATGGTGGTAAGTTATTCACTCCTAAAGAGTATGAAGAATACAAGAAAAAGGTTCTACCCATGAGAATGAAAAATCGACTTTTTGTAAGTTGGACAGCACCCAATGGCATGGACTGCAAGATGATTGGACCAGAGACAATGTGTTTCTGTAATCACAGGTTAAAAGCTAAAAAGTCTTTTTTTGCTATAAAAATTTGAGAAGTATTTGAATAAGCTTTAATTTATTTATACATATAGTGTATAGGTAGTTTTAAAAAAATTTAAACTGGGGGTGGGGTAATTTATTAAAGAAGAAATCCATCTGCTTAACTTATATCAAGGCTGTGCTCTTGCAGTGCCCAATAGCCCCTGGTGCCTAAATCTTACTCCTGGGTGACCACAAAATCTTAGTGTTTTCATAGAAATGCTATACTGGGTACCCTGTATTTCAAAGAAGAAGAAGAAGAAGAAGAAGAAGAACCTTTATTAATTTATACCGCTCAGGGTAGCCCCTTCAGACGCAAAAAGCTGTCTGTTATCAATGGGAGCCCTGAGCAACAACGCACAAAAACACACTAAACATATAAACATTACACTAATACAGGTAATAATATAAATAGAAAACTATTTTCAATTAAAAGATTAAAAGATGTAAAACACGAAATATCATTAAGATAATTCGTTAAAAAGAGTGCAACCATAATAATAGAAGGATCTTTTTGCAATTTCAGTTCTCACAGCAGGCGGATGTAAGAGGTTGCTTTGTCTAGTAGCGCGCGCATGGACTGTATTATTACGTTTAAAATAATGTTTAAAATACTGGGGACATTGACCTTGCAGGCATTTCTTAACGAGTTTAAAAACAGATTGACGTCGGCGGTCCTCCAAGGTGGGCCATTTCAGAACGTCCAATGCCTGCTTGCTGCGCACAGTACAAGCCACTATCCTAGCAGCCCGGTTTTGGAGGGCTTCAAGGTCTTGTTTACGACCTTCCCCGCAACAGCCCCACACACTTACACAGTATTCTAAAATTGGCCTAATTAGACTACAGTACACTACATTTGCACTCTCTCTAGTGAGGCTTCTGCGAAGCCTGCCGAGGTTCAGAACATTGGGTCCCTTTCAATTTTTCTTAGAGTACAGCCTTGTACATGTATCTGATTGATATTCTTATACCCAACTTTTAGGTACAAACAACATAAGACAGATTATGAGACATTGCCACAAACCCGGCCTGTCCCAGTACCGTGTAGAGCAAGTGGCTGCAAATGCAAGAGTTACCATTATGTCCCTAAGAACGGCACACAGCCAATCAGATGTCAGTGTAAACACTTTGCAGATGAGCACTTAGAAGTGGTACCTTACAAGTGCACTAAGGGTTGCGCATGTAAGGCGTTTAGAAGTTCCTTTACCTGTGGCTGTGGAGAACCAACATATGCTCATAAGGTACATGCACACAAGGGTTGGTGGGAGGATGGGTGATAGCTTGAATCAATGCAGGGCTATCATTGAGGGCCAGGCACCTGGGGCTTGGGGACTTCTCCCAGCTGCTGAGTGCATTATCCTAGCCACTTTCAAAGAAGGATCAATATCAAGTTATTGGAGCATAACAGTGCCTATATCTTCCCACCAATTACTGTAGCACTGACAGGCTGATTTTTAGTACATTTTTGTGAGAGGCCTTTTTTTATCGTGTTCTTTTTGGATATATGAGGCGAGCCCATAATTTCAAAAATTTAAGTTTCGTGATGTCATCCCTTTTTTCTCTATTCAGTCATGTGCTTAGTTATTATCAATTTATTAGCCTGTTCCTGTTGGCACCGTCCCCACAATCTGAATGCCTGGATAGGCTATCAAGTTTTAAAATCGACATATAATTATGTACAATTTTTCTCTTTGTCATTTATGAGGTTGCTTTCTTACAGTTGTGAATCGTTTTTTTCCCAAAAGACAGTTGTAGAGACAAAAGAGGAACGCTTGGCCCGTGGACACCCAGTAGGTCAAGATGTTCCCTATGCAGCTATGGGTGGGATAACAGGATTCAGCTCACTGATGGATGGCTACATGCGCTTGGATGACAGTGGCATTGGTCCTCCACCAATGCACATGTTAGAGCAACCCATTGGTATGTGCATGGTTTTTCATGGAAACTTTTATGCTAGGTTGACCATAATCAGTAACTATTAAGACAAAATCCATAAGTGAGTAATTTTAATTTTCAGTGGACAAACGCTTTGTACCAGAATAATTTCAAGCATGTTGCATTCTTTTTCACACTTTTCAAGGGCTATAAATGTAATAAGTTGTATGAAATAACTCTGAAGAAAAGGTTCTTATTGGAGTCTGAGAAAACAAACTTCAAAAGCCTCAAATTTCACAAAATGAAATCCTAGGCATGACAAATTATTTTTACCTGTACTTTTTTAATTCCTGTGAAATTGGACATTTATTTTCTTGGACTCCGGTAAGAAATCATCTTTAAAGGTACAAGGTTTTTGTCCACCGAAAATAAAAATTACTCAATTTCCTAATGGATTCCGTCTTAAGGTCTCCTCATTTTCAGTCTACTGTAGCTTTAATTTGTGACTAACCCTGTTAATGATTTTGCCTAGGACCTGATGATCATCCATTTCTGAGAGCCCATGCAGGTGTTGCAGCAATGTCTTTAGAGGATCGGATGGGTGGTACGGCAGGACAACTGGCACGTAGAACCACAGAAGAAGAGGACATGGCTTACTTCGAAAGGTGTTACCAAGCAAGGGTCAGTGTTATTGTGATTTTCGTGGACCTGTGCCCACTGCTTAAACTAATATTTGCTTCCTGGATGGTTTAATGGTAATTCCCCACCCCCTCCTTCTCTGCCTGAATTTTTTCTTTAACTATGAGGATTGTTGGCTTCACAGCTTAAGGCAGAAAAAGAGCAAGCCAGACTTCAAAAATCAGCTCAAGCAAAGAGGCTCCCAGGGGCAACCACTGGACGACAGAGCACAGGTAGTCCTACAAGGAGGACTGGGCCAAGTAAAGCATTCTCAGCAACCAAGCCTGCTGGTTCACCGAGGAGCACTGGTACCCAGACTGTAAGACAGAAGAGGTGAAACAAGTGCACAAAAGAAACAAACAAATGGAGGTGGATCGAATTAGTGTGTCAACATAAAGAAATGAAAAACAAAAAAAAAGAAAGAAAGAAAAAGAAAAAACACCATCAGCAACAAGACAAAACATAGGCACGTTCAACGTGCATGAGCTATTTTGAATGCTTCAGTGTAACTATAATACTTCGGTGTAACCTTACCAAGAGTGATGAATCTACCTTTTTCATCCTAAATGTAGATTTGGTTTTTGTGCGAAATTGGGTATTGCGCTACATAAATGAAAACGCGAAACGCTCAGCTGAGTCGATCCTCAACCTATGTATTCACTTTCCTCTGTCTTTCCCAGTTACATCTGGTGCAAGTTAAACAAATTGCTAAAGTAAAATAAATTTGTACTCACCAAACGTTGATTAGAAGGAAAACTCTAAGGTTTCCTCGGAGTTTCTTAAGCCAAAATGTGACTCATCGAATACTGAATAGTTACGAAATACCAGGATTTTTATCATTGAGGTAGATGGTTGCGTCATCATAATTCACGAGGTTTTCACGTGCGATTCTACTCAGTGAAACAGTCTTTAACTCCGACAACTTATTTCTTCATGTTTTAAAAGCTATTGCTTCTTAAAAGGCAAGAGCCTTTTTTAAGGCATTGGTTACAAAACGAAACAGGTCTTCATACGTCCAAGTTACTATTTATCATTGTGAAAAGCCAATCTGCATGAGATGTACAGTCACACAGCTGGCACGTGAAAGTGTTGGACTTTGTCCCCTTTCGTGGTTCGTACGTGAGGGAATTCGAGTTATCACACAATAAACTAGTAAACAGAATTATAAAAATAACTCTTGCACACAATTTGCACGTGAAGATGTTGGTCTTTGGCCCTTTTACAATTCGTACGTTAAAAAAAAGGCAAATTGTTTACTACAAAATTTTCTCAAGCGATTTTAAGAAATCACCTCGGCTTCATTACAACATCTGCAATTAAATTATGTTTCATGCAACGTCAAGGTTGATAACCTAACATTTATTAACATTTGTGAGACAGTCTTTAACTCCGACAACTTATTTCTTCATGTTTTAAAAGCTATTGCTTCTTAAAAGACAAGAGCCTTTTTTAGGGCATTGGTTACTAAACGAAACAGGTCTTTATACGTTCAAGTCACTATTACTATTGTGAAAAGCCAATCTGCATGAGATGTACAGTCACACAGATGGCACGTGAAAGTGTTGGACTTTGCCCCCTTCCGTGGTTCGTACGTGAGGGAATTCGAGTTATCACACAGTAATCGAGTAAACAGAATTATAAAAATAACTCATGCACACGATTTGCATGTGAAGATGTTGGTCTTTGGCCCTTTTACAATTCGTACTTAAAAAAAACGCAAATTGTTTACTACAAAATTTTCTCAAGCGATTTTAAGAAATCACCTCGGCCTTATTACAACATCTGCAATTAAATTATGTTTCATGCAACGTCAAGGTTGATAGCCTAACATTTATTAACTTCCAAGAAAATTATCAAACTGCCGAAATATATCTCTGCTCATATCATGTTACTCCACTCAATAAAGCAGTACCTAATTATTGTGTCAACTAGCTTCTTCCAATTTTATTCCCTAACGCTACTGTTTCTACTTAAGTTTATACGCATCTTTACTAAATAAAATACGTTTCAATAACTATAATGCTTAGTATGCAGGAAGGATGTATCATGTTGTTCACTTATTATTCCTTTTTGTTGTTGTTTTGCCGGAACGAAAAAGGTCTGTTGAACTTTGTAAGCGAGAGAATAATATTTCTACAGCTTGTTTACAGGATTAACAATACTCGGTACAGCTTTTAAAAAAATAAGCTGCTTTTCAAACTTCTAAAACCACATTTTATAGGCCGCATACTTTCGAATTAAAGTCCATATCTAAATATCAATTATTGCTTCACTGGAAGAGCTTTGAAAATATATGATCGTTTATACTCTACCTTGAAGCAGGTGAAACACAACTCATAAATACGTGCGTGGTACCGTTCGCGATAGCCGAATTCGGTCAGAAATGTCTTGAAGTAGCATCCACACTAAAATATGAACCCTTAAAAAGCTGCATCACTGTACACAGCGTTTGAATCATGAAGATATTTAATATAATGTTTCCAAACACCTGTAGCCGTAATAAAAGACGAACAAATTGTAAAGAATCAAGATGGCGGTCTTAAAGTGCCCTTGTTCGACCTTTAGCAATGTGATTTTTAAGTAGATGCCAAGATCTCATTGGTTCCTTAGCATCAACTCATAGTACCTTCAACCTTATTGGCTCTTGCAACAAACATCCGAACAAACAAAGTTACAAAGATACAAAGCCACAAAGATACATACGCTCACACCACTGACATATGAGCTATTTTTTCAAAATAGCTCAACAAAAACATGATAATTATGACAATCCGAATAACTCGAAAGAATTTTCTTCAAGCCACATTTTGGCATTGACATAGGTTTTTTAAATACGTTCTCTGTCGTTTAAATGATGATGATCTCCTTAGAAAAACCCTATGTTAAAACAAAGCCACCATGGGCTCAACTATTTCAGACAATAGTGTAAAATGATCAGGAGTTTCATTTTTTCCGCCCTTGTGAAAGCCAGCAAATACCAGAGGCAGCCAAGAGACCTTGCCCATCGCATATGTGAATGTTGGAATTCATATCAGACTGAAAGCAGCTTACTAAATGCCAGGAAATGTGAGAGGCTGTTTGCGGTGTTAATATTTCTTTTACTAATGTACAGTGTTATAGGATAATGTACACATTTGATAAAAAGACACCTTTTGTATAACTTATTTATTCAATTTTAACTTGCTTATTTAAAACAGTGGGAAATAAAATGGAGACAAAAACAAATCTACATGGATGAAAATAACTGCGTTCATAAACTTTAGGTTTTCTAGATTTTTTACACTCTGGACAGGAGATAACCCATTTCAAGAAAATAATTGAATTAAAACTATATTTTGAGGATTCTGAACGTTAACATGACGGCGAAGGAGGTGAAATCAGCTATGAAATGTTAGGAAGAAGTAATTGATTTCTTTGGGAAACTGTCAGATGCTTCACTTGATTAGAACCAGGGGGACGATGTGTTCCTCTGGAAACTTGAATTCCCGGGAACCGGCAAATTCGTTCTGTTGGGGTAAATTTTACTTTCTATAAGCTGGAAAGGCATTGCTAAGCATTTCGTTTGCATCGTAGTATCGCTAGTTTGGTAAATAATGATAAATGGGTATGTACAATAAATGTCACTGTTAAATGATTTTTGGTTCGCACGATAATGGATAAACAAAAGGAAACGAGAAAACGGCGAAAAATACCAGTCTCGTTTTAAGAAAATTTCGTTATTTGGAAATTTTGTCTCTGATACACGCATTCCATGGAAATAACTTAGCCTTTCTTTAAAATGTGTTGGAAGCACGTTTAAACGTTAATCTACAGAAACTGTTTTGGAGTAGTACTGCCTTCAAAAACCGTTCCGTTCTCTTGACTTGCTGCCGTAAGCATACAATATGAGGTGGCCCGAGGACAAGGAAGGCACCAGAAAGGCTCTATCTCGGATGTACATTGAGACAGCATGTTGGTTCTATAGCCATGGATGCCAGGCTGGGTCCATACGACACAGATTATCAGGGCTTGTGGCCGCAGCTATCAGGGTCGTGACCTTTGTTTCACCGCCTTCATATTGCGCAAGATCTGGGAAAAGAATTTGAAAACATCTCATTATGGACTACGAGCAGTCTCTCTTTTTTCTGTAGTCCGTCGAACAAAACGCGAGACACACAAAACCTGAACAAAAAGAGAGACTGCTCGCAGTCTAATCTCAGTCCGTAGTAAGTTCAAAAGAGGAGTGCTTAGCCTGCGCCTTTCGCGCGGGTCACCATTAAAGGCTGGTCTTCACTAACGACGGAGTCGGAGTCGTAATCAGAAGCGTAGAACTTTACGATCTAGTGAAAACAGCGTTCAGATTCTTCTGATTCTGCTTAAGACTGCGTCGTTTACGATCAAGTAAAAACTGAGTCGTCGGAGTCACAAGCAGAAGCGGAAGAACTAAACCAATCACAAAGCATGGGAACGTGCATCGTGATTAGTTTATCCTTCACACACACACTATACTTTATTTTCATACACATCATTTTGCCATCTCCGCCCGCAAATAGCAAAAGCTAGACGAGGCGGGCGGAGAAGAAAGGTTACAGCAGTCATAACAGACTTCGACAATCTGGTTTTCACTACATCGTAAGCAACGGAGTCGTAAGCAGAGTCGGAAGAAAATGGAAACGTTCTGATTCTTCTGACTCCGATTCCGTCTCGCTTATGACTCCGCTTACGACTTCGATTTTTGATTTTCACTACGTCATAAGCGTTCTTACGACTCCGACTCTGTCGCTATTAAAAACCAGCCTTAAGACTTCATTAAAACAGAAACCGCGCGTGAAAGTCTCTGGCACCAAGGGTATGCGGTCTTCTCCTCAGTTTTTTCTTTGGTTCATGCGGAAAGAAGAGACGTCTGCGCGCAGACACGAAAGATGATAAACGGCGATTCGTAAACCTAAGGACCTTCGACCATAAAGGAATAACAATGACTTATGGAAACGCTAATTAGGGACGGAGGTGGTAAGATTCCAGGAGCATGGATGTCCAAGACCAGACAGCGTAGCAGGCCGATCACAGCGGCGAACCGCCCAGGACACAATAGACCTGTTTCAATATCTGGACATTTTTACTCCGCTCCGAGGCTTGAGGGAATAAAACCAAAGAAAATTGCTATTCATCTCTGATTTCGTTTGTTCCCCCCCCAAGTCTGGGGGTCTAGTATGAAGTCAAAATGAGTCTATTTCTAACTCAAGCAATACGAATTAAAATTAGCCAACCACAAGTGTAAGGATCGGAATGCACCAATGCCAAACAACCACAGCGCTACTAATAGCCCCCTCTGCCCCCCTCCCCCCGCACAGCCAATCA